TTTTGAAAGAAATTCATGTTTTTTGTTGATGTTATGCCCGATTATTAGACTTTGCTAATAAATATGTTAACATCAAATTCAGAATCATACAATATATATATGTATATATATATATATATATATATATATATATATATTAGGGTGGTCCTTAATATGGACATTTTCGAATTTCCTTGCTCCCAGGGGCTCAAATGGTTCCAAATAGATAAAAAACAATTCTCTGAAAGTTTAAGCTCTTAATATTAACTTTTAGATAGAGCGCAATTCAATCAAACTTCGTATGAAAATAGCATGTAAAAAATTTTGAATATAAAAAAAAATTTTAGACATACTGATGAATTAAAAGTGAAAATTCGTGTCATTTTTTATTGAAAATTCGACGCTTTGCAAAATTTTTGAAAATTTTTTCATGCTATTTCCATACAAAACTTTGATTGAATTGCGCTCTATCTAAAAGACAATATTAAGAGCTATAACTTTCAGAGAATTGTTTTTTATCAATTTGGAATCATATGAACCGTTTGTTTTTCACGGATCATATAACTGATATTTGTATAAGAGCACATAAATCTTTAGGTTTGATACTGAGAAATTGTAAACAATTCAATTCTAACAATGCACTTCTTTGCATGTACTATTCTAATGTACGTTCAAAATTAGAATATGGTTCGATTATTTGGTATCCTCATCTAATCAACTACTCTGATGAATTTCTGAAATATCTCTATTATAAAACATATAAAATTTACCCTGAACGTGGCTTTGACCACAACACTTTATTAAAAGAATTTGGTATTCCTTCCCTTGCCTCACGTCGATTTATCTGTACAATTATGTTCTTATTTAAACTTTGCAATAATTCTATAGACTGTCCTCTTATTCTTAATCAACTATCCTTTAATGTTCCAAGGCTATCTACGTGTTCACAATTAATTTTCAATTATTCTACTCCTAAATCTAATTCTCTCTTAAATTCGCCTATTCTACTTATGTCCTCTAACTTTAACTTAATTAATAATGAAATAGATATTCACAACACTTCACCTAATAATCGAATAATCTCCATCTGCACAAGTTAACCTTTTTATTTTCTTTTCAAATATCTCATTATTTTATCTTATTCTGTTTATAAATAATATTGTTACATTCTGCATTATATATGTAATTTTATGTTAAGCATTTTATGTTAATAACCATATATTGTAATTTTGTATATATTTCAATTGTTATTCATTATGTAAAATAATTGTATTTTTGAGTGCTCTTGGAAGAGATCTGTGGGCTATATATTTAAATATTTAAATAAATAAATAAATATGAGCCTTTGGGAGCAAGGAAATTCGAAAATGTATCCTTTATCCTTACCCAAGAATCGAAAAGGGAACCTCCTGAGGCAGTCACGGTCCTTCCCCATCGCTAATTAGAGGCGTCTCTGGAACAAAATTTGGATGCATATATAACAAAATACACGAATTTCGTCCAATGACATTCCCTATAGGTCCAAATTGGTGGTAGGCATAATTTTTTATTCGAGAAATCCTACATAAATTTGACAACGCGAAACGAAACGCCCGTGAATTTTATTTTTTTGGAATTTTTTTGACAGGGAAAATGACAAAATTAGTAGAGAAAACGAGCGCTGACTCGGATCGGGGAAATTCATTTATTTTTGATGATGACAAGGAAATGAATATTTGTTTTTAATTATTTTAATTTATATATTTTGTAAATATCAAAGCCTAAAACTTAACCCGCCTTAACGAAAAAGTCTTGAAGTGGTTATGGATGTATATTATAGGGTTTGTCGGTTTTCAAAAACCGGCTTTAAAAACCGTTTTTTTTGGCGAAAATTATGAAATTCGAAAACCGGTTTTTTAGTGAAAGTCGGTTTTCACGGCGTAAATAGAAAATGACAAATATAGCAAAATGTAAAAGAAAGATGAAATCATATTAATTTGTATATATTAATTTATAGTTTTTTACCAGTGTATATATTAGGTTGTCAAATATCTCCCTTCCGCCTTTTTGTATTATAAACCAAGAGCAAAAAAGCGGAAGGGAGATATTTGATGACAACCTTATATTAATTTAAATCAGTGTGATTTCTTCTTGGAAAAGTACTTCCTCCACTTAAACTTAAAAAAAGAGTTTTAAACCCTAGAAGCTACAAATTAAAGAACAAAAAACTTAGAATTATTATATCAGGCTTTAAAAAAAAATTAAGCATAATTTGGTCGCAAGTATGAGAGTATTTTCTATTTCAGGAAATTTTGTGAGTAAAGAAAGGACACGTCAAGGTAAAAATTTGATAGACGTTCTAAGTTTTTTTAAATCTTATTTTATTAAATAAATTAAAAGAATGTTTAGAATTAATTAATTAAAATTGCTCGGAACAGACAATACCCGAGTTCAGCTTAATTGTTTTTAAAACTAAAATTGATATTAACAAGTATGTATCAACATGTATCTAATATTTCTTTTTTTTTATTTAAAAATGTGATATTTTTATTTATTCGAAAACTTTCCTTTCACTATCATAAAAATATTTTCATTCTTATATGTGAAAATGATGCACAAATAACCAATAATTATTTTCAAAGTTATTTAATCAATTTAAACTATTATTTTTTAGTTCTACTAATTAAAATTAAAATAATTCTGTTTACTATCTATAAAGTTGAACCAAAAATAAATTCAGTCAAATACTACTATAAATTACACTAAATTTGCGGATTAATTACAGAATATTCGAGAAAAAAAAATTTCTATATAAAATACGAAAACCGGTTAAAACCGGGTTTTTTAGTAAAATTAAAATTCGAAAACCGGTTTTCTGAAATGTCGGTTTTTGTATAAACCCTAGTATATTAGCAATTGCAGCAAAAATTAAAATTTCAAAACTTGCACTAGAAAATAATTCATTTATCATGAGAAATTAGTTAGCTCACCTGTGTCGGAATAAAATTCTAAACTCTTCAAGTCACTTTGCTTGTATCATTTTATTACAATAATTGTTTTACACTATGAGGATATATTTTTTCCACTTACAATATTTGTTTAGTTTCATTTACTGACATTTGTTATTTGTAACAATTTGACATTTTATTTATAAATAACAATGACACAACTTTTGCGCACTTACGTATGAGTATGAGAACAACCTTGACGAAGGCCATGGAGGAGGTTATGAATCATATTGGAATCAAATTAGATATTATTGTGCTATGAGTATAAAAAAACACTTGTTAAATTAATGGGAATGTAGATTGTTCAGTTTTGAACGAATTTCTTGAATATACTATTTAGTTTCTGTGAGTAGTTTAAAAGTTATTTGAGAAATACTGAATAAATGTACTTTCTTTGATTACATTTTTTTCTAAGACAATTCGTGGTTTTTGCTAGGGTTTTTAAAGTATACTGATATGCTTTAGGGTCTGACTATATTAGACAAAATTATTTAGAATTTAATTTTATACAAATCCTTCAAGCATACTTTGTATTTTTTGTAAAGTGTTTAGAAGTTATTCAATCAATACTAAATAAATGCACTTTCTATTGTTACATTTTATCTAAGACAATTTGTAGTGTTTGCTAGGGAGTTAAAGTATACAAAGTTGATTGTAGGATTCATGATGTCAGACAAAATTGTGTAGAATATAATTTTGAATAAATTTGTCAAAGACACTAATAATTTTCGGCTGATATTTTAGATGTTATTGAAGAAATACTAGATAAATGCACTTTCTATTATTGCATTTTATTCGTAATTTTTGCTAGGGTTTTTTAAAGTATACCAAGTTGCTTGTAGGGTTTTATGATGTTAGACAAAATTATTTAGAATATAATTTTGAATAAATTTTCCAAAGACACTATTTATTTTTTGCAAATAGTTTATAAGTTATGCTATAAATACTAAATAAAAGCATTTTCTATGATTCCATTTTATCTAACGATAAGATAATTCGTAGCTTTTGCTTGGTTTTTAAAGTATTCCAAGTTGCTTGTAAGGAGTTATGATGTTAGACAAAATTATGTAAAATTTAATTTTTTACAAATTTCTCAAAGATACTATATAGTTTCTGCCAGTAGTTTAGAAGTTATTTAATAGATACTAAATATACGTACTTTTATGATTTTTCAAATGCCCTTGGTAGTTTTTGCTGGGGTTTTAAGGTATACAAATATGCTTGTAGGGTCTTACTATGTTAGACAAAATTATGTAGAATTTAGTTTTGTACAAATTTCTCAAACAAACTAATAATTTTATGCGGATATTTTAAAAGTTATTCCTGAAATACTAAATAAATGCACTTTCTATGATTAAATTTCATAAAATGCAATTCGTAGTTTTTGCGAAAATTACAATTTTTAAAAACTTTTTGATTTTTTTGAAAATTTTGAAATCATTGAAAATTATCAAATTTTTCAAAAACTACAAATTTTCAACTTTTTGAAATATTTTATTTGAAATTTCTAGATTTTCCCGAATCGTGATTTAGAATTTTTAAAAGCTTTATAAAAAATTTAAAAGTTTTATAAAAATTGAATATTTCAAAAATTTACTTTAGAAAATTTTGAAATTTTTGAAAAAATCAACATTTTTGAAAAATTTGAAATTTCTTGAAAATTTGAATTTTTATTAATTTTCGAAATCATTGTGTAATTTCTTGAAAATTTTGAAATGCATTGAAGTCGGTTTATGAAAACAATATAAGTAAACTTATTATTGGAATATCTGATGAATCTAATATAATATCTGCTCTCGAAATCGTGGACGAAAATTGTATCCAAACACCCACACACACACATACATATATTTTTTTAAGGTATGCCACAATGTTCAGAAACCTTTGAAACGTACAAATATATGAAAAAAATTATTTTCGATTTTTTGACATAACTATAACTTACTCTACTGAAAGATAATGAATATAATTAAGACAAAATAATGTGTCAAAATAACTTTTATTGACAATTGTTATATAATTTTAACTTAATTTTCAATAAGTTGTCCCCAATAAATTCCTATAGGTAACATTCATAAACAGTTGAGTGGCTGTATCAATAGGAGAAATCATCATTGGAATCATTGCCAGGCATAAAATTCCAGGTGCCCAACGGAGTCTCAAATATCTCGAAATCAAATAACGAGCCCTGGAAAAAATAGACACATTACTAATTCATAAAATTAATATAATTTGAAATATATATCTGTATGTATATGTCTATTTACTCGTGTATAATCGCTCCTGGTAAAAATCCGTTTGCCAAACCGTTCCAAAGAAGTACATCCCCGAAAGCGACTAATTTATTTGGGAAACCTTGTTCGTTAACACCCTGAAATAAATATAATTATATATGATTTATTATGAGTATGTATATGATTTTTCTTACACTTGTCTGATAGGCTTTCTGGTACACGTCCATGCCAATGTAGAAGGACCTCAAATGTCCTGCATGACGAAGACTTCTGTTAAATCTGCAGGGCAGAAGGTCCTCTATACAGCATGCTATCAGAGGAGAATAACCTGCAGAAAATAATAAAGAAATAAAATAAATATGTACTATGTCAGGATAATTGAAATGGACCTGCATTTCAATTATAAAATGTTACTACTGCATGATAGCAAATTTTAATCGGTTGTGTCAGGGTACGGTAGTGACAGTCGTCATAACAGTTGGTTTTAATAAGATAGGGTCCAAAGTAAGAAAGATGAAGTATGTTTGTTCGAACAAGTTTCCATTATTGCACTGAGTCAGTGCCCTACTTTCAAGTTCGAATTGTTTTAATAATTATTTAATTTTATTAGTTATTTTGCTATAAGTTGAACATTAGTAGTTATTTACCAGCAGTTTTAGCATAAATTACTTAGCTCAGTCACAATGATGATTTATTGACAAAGTGACAAATTTTGTGGGTACGGTTGTGACACGTATTTCTTGACCTTTTCAGAGTGAAAATTAATTAAAGAAAAATCTAACTTAAAATCAATTTTTCACTCTCAATCTCATCAATAACCGAATCAATACATTGCATTTCAAAAATTGAATATTCACACAGATCGCGCTCTGCAAGCCTAACCGTAAAAGATACGAAAAAACTTATTCCGACGAAAGATGCAGAATCAAATTACGAATTAAATGATATATAAATCGTTAAGTACGTTCATATAATTTTCTCGAAATTTTACAGTTTTCCTTAAATTTTTCGATTGCAACTTGCCTGTAGGCCACACCGTGCGGATTCGAAGTTGCGATATATAAAAAAAAAACTAAGAATTTTGAGACCTTTCTAACGATGTATAATACTTTATATGTTTTCTTTACAGAAATATCGAATCGTGAGGAGTATTGCTCCAACCTAGCCGCACTTTGCATTTTGACAAGTTAACATCTACACATATTGCTCTGACAAGTTAACATCTACACATATTGCTCTATAACATCAAAACCGTAAAAGATACGAAAGATGCAGAATAAAATAACGAATAAAATGATATATGAATGGTTAAGTGTGTTCATATAATTTTCTCGAGATTTTCCGATTTTCCTGAAATTTTACGACGGCAACTCGCCTGTAGGCCACACCGTTTGGAATTCGAAATTGCGATATATGGGAAAAAAACTAAGAATTTTGAGACCTTTCTAACGATGTATAATACTTTATATGTTTTCTTTACAAAAATATCGAAGAGTGTGGATAAAATACGAAGGAAAAATGTAAAGAAAATACAATATAAAAAAAAGGTTTTACAAAAATTTCTTATTAATTCTGTTCTAAAAATTCTGTTCTGTTATATATTGTTATATCATATTTCCAATTGTTATTAATAATATGTTTTTATAAATTATTATTTGCACTTACCCAAGTACCTCATAGGAGTGACCCGAGTGTCTGAAGGAAAATCAAACTCGGGTATTTTCATTTTTAAATTTATCTACAACAAAAATATGATAAAAAATGATAAAAATAAATTAAAAAGTATTAAAACAATTTTGACATGTGTCATTAATTAAATAAAACATTATTTGGGAATTAGGAATATAGATCAAAGTGCACTTTGTTTTGATGAATTTATCCTAAACATTTAATATATTATTTATTACAGTTTTTATAGGTTTTCCTGTTTATTACATCTCTATTATATACATATATATATATATATATATATATATATATAATACATATATCATATATATATATATATATATACACAATATTTTAAGTTTTAATTATTGTTTATATAAATCTTTTGCTATTTTAGCTATTATGTCGTTTGGTTAATATAAAATATTATTCATTGTTTATATTTTTTATAATTTTTGAACCATTCCTGAAATTTCAAACATATATTTAACAACATTGTGCCAATTAAGTATGCATCATTAAAAATAAGAACATTTTTAATATCTTTGTATTTCAATTTCAAATTTAAATTACCCGCCTTCAAACTTCAACACGAAGTTCGCCCTTGCCAATACTTCTGCAACCAACTTCACTCCATATAACTCTACCTGTCTGACAGTCGTCAAGAAAAGACTACTTATCATTCGGTTTTCACAAATAATACAAAAACCAGGTCAGTAATTAATAAATTGCATTGCACATGTCGATTACCGTAATTTTTTATTTATTAATATGTTGTTTTAGATTATTAAAATGATTGGAGTCCGCGCCATCACAAAGTCGTCCCCAGTGGTCAGAACTCTTTTGCAACAGACCAGGAACTTCAATGATGCTTATCCAGTAGTATCAGGGCCCCCAAGGACTAAGATTTCTACTGCTGTAAGTAAAAATAATATATTTTACTTTTATTTTGTTTTTTTAATAGTTTTATACATTGTTACATAACTTGTTAATACATAACCTATGACTATTATATTACAATTAATGTCAAAATATTTTAATTTTGATCATATTTTGGAGAACTTTCACCACATAAATAGTTATATCTTCATTCTGGTTAAGGATTCACCGCTGATAATTAGATTTGTAACTTTTATTATTATGTATTTGTCAATTTTAATTTGTGCAGAGGTATTGCATTATAGTTACATTCCAAAAAAATCTACCGTGTTATGAGAATCAGCTTTATACAAAACAAAGCACTAGTACAAAATGAGGAATTAAGTTCTAAAAATTCAAAAAACATGCTATTATTTTTAAACAAGTCATACTTATTAACTGAATTAAATATTTTTGTTATCATAATGAAGTATTTTTTATCATGAGCATTGAATTTTTAACGAAACCGCTTGAATATTTGCTTTCATTATCATGAATTTTTTAATGTAACGTCTTGTACATATAAAATCTGTTGCTATGATTTTTACAGCCTCATTGAATGATGATCAATTGGCCATCTTTTGCTAATTTTTTCTTGTTGTACCAAGATTTTCTTACTTTTTTCACATTATGCTAATAACTTGTTATTGTTGTTGGTTAATTTTATATTATTTCTTAATATATGATTTATTTTTTAGGAGAAAATTGTCCATGGAGCCGTCATCACAGTCGGTTGCTTGGCCATCCCCGCTTGGGTGCTCCTCCATTTGCAAGAATACAAAGGAGAACAATAAACAATGAAAATTCTTAGTAAATGTGTGATAAGTGTAAATTTAACTAAATACAAAGGAATAAAGTAGAATTTTATTTTTATTCCATAAAGAAATCTCATCAATTTCAGCCTTATTTTGTATTATTATCAATTAAAAGGCGTTTTATAATAACTTCAATATTTATTTCATATTAGTGCTGCAAATATGCCTAAATTTATATTATAATACATTTTATAATAATCACATTCTGTATATATATATAGAAGCTTATATAAAATTTTCATAAAAAGTATAAATATTTAAAACAACCTCACACCTGTCTTTAAGTTTATAAATTAACTTAATTGGTGTGATAAATAGCTGTAAAAGCGTTGCACAAAATGCAGTACAGGTAAATTAAATAAACAACCAAATTTTCTTTTAAAAGCTAATGAATTAATAAAGCTTATATAAAATAATATTCTTTCTTCTGCAGTTTGTGCTGTGGTGCGCTGATTTAAACAATAAAACTAACTTAATTTAACATTATTCACGGCGCAGATTATCAAGTCTAGCTTGTAGATCAGCATCGGCATCTGAAACTGGGGCACCTCCTCCACTACCTGTTGATTTAGGTCCGGAGCCACCACCACCACCAACGGCTGTCGCTACAGGTTGTTTCATACCTAGAAATAATAAATTAATAAATATAAAATAATCAATTAATTAATATTAATTAATCAATTAATGCATTTTCAGGTTTTTTTACCTGAAGCAGCTAAAGAACCAGAAGCCTGCGGCAGCCCTGACAAAGTATCATTCAATTGTAAACCTAATTCATCCAAAACTTGAGAAACAATAGCATCAGACTCCTCCTCATCATCGTCCTCCTCCATAGCATCATCAATCGAATCATTAATCATCTCTTCTTTCATATCCATAATTTCTGATTGTTTCTCAAACTCATGCAGAATTTTCTGTATCTGCGGCATATTTAGTTGCTTATTCATATTCTGCATGGCTTTTGTAACGCCTTTCATGGCTTGAGCCATCGTGTTTTGGGACTTTAAAGTTTGTATTTTTAAGGAAACCGCTTGAATATTTGCTTTCATTATCATGAATTTTTTAATGTAACGTCTTGTACGTATTAAATCTTTTGCCATGATTTTTACAGCGTCCATTTGGCCGTCTTTGGCTAATTTTTTGATGTCTGCTATTACTTTTTTTTCTTGTTGTTCCATGCGCATTCTTTCACGGTCTAATTCACGAATCGCTTTGTTTAGGGCACGCTGATTCTTCCTGAGCATCTCGTCAGGGGTCATCCTGTGCCCGAATAACCACTCCATGGTAAAGGAAATAGATAAACTAGAAGGATAATAGAAATATAAAGGTAATAAAATTTTTGTTAGATGAAACAAATTTGGAATTTGGTAATATAAATGTTTAAAGAAGGTATTTAAGTGTTATTCAATATTATAACCCAAATGTTTATGTAGTGATAAAAATAATTATCTAGGCATTAATATTAGTCTTTATATACAAAATCTCTATTTACAATAATTTATATCTAAACTGTAACCCTGAAACTAAACAAATTTTACAATAATTATTCACATAAGTATGTGGAAGGTACCAAAACTTCCCAGAATGACAATTATTTATTTTGTTTTGATAATCTTGTAATAAATTTGTCAATTACCTTTAATTATTTAATTATTAATAATAAATTGTGTAAAAACTGCGTCACCAGGTTATCTGTCACTTGTCAAAATATTTAGAAAATGACTAATGGTGTTGCCAGGTGTTACTGTTAACTTCAAGTAAGTGCGCGCCAAATTTAAACACCAAATTAAATATTTGCAAGTCGTTATTAAATGATGTTCGGTATTATTATTATTATTTTGATTTCAATTTAAGGTGGTTTTAAAGTGTTTTTATGTATTTTTTATCATTTTTGTGAGTATATTTGCATGTCAATTTTGTAAACACAAATCGTCCATCTTTAACAAAATGGCAGTTTTTATGCTGATATCTAACTGTCATGCTGTGTTCTAATTATATCTCAAACTCAGACAAAAGCGTTGTAAACAAGTCGAAAATAATACTAGCTTGACGTTGCATTTTTTAAATACTAAGTGTCTTTTACCACTTTACTAATCCATTAGATCTAATAATGAAAATTACAGTTACAACACTGTCGGACGATATATTTGTTTTAGATGTATCCGAAGATTTGGAACTTGAAAATTTTAAAGCATTTTGTGAAGTGGAGTCAGGTTTTCCTGCTCCCGAGATCGTAATTGCATTTAATGGAAGGCCTTTGATGGATGATAAAAAGTCTCTGAAAGATCATGGGATAAGGGATGGAGATGTCGTTATTTTGCAACACATGCTGCATACATCTTCTTCAACACTTTTACAAGGGGGACCAGGTAATAATAATATGATAACTGTCTCATACTCATAACTTATCATAGAATTACCTAAATGCGACTAACCTGTTCTAGAATTGCCTAATTTCGACTTCAGCTCCATCCAAATACCAGGATCATCCTTACCGAGAGCAGCTGCGAATCACAATAGCTCCAACAAGGAAATTCAGGTAGCAGAAACCCTCCTATCAGTGTTGCACCTGAAGACGACCCAGGGATGATTCGGGACATGTTTTTAGCAAATCCTGATCAACTGGCTTTACTCAAACAAAATAATCCACGCTTGGCAGACGCCTTGTTGAGTGGAAACTTAGGTAAAATAATATATATATATATATATATATATATAAATTAAAATTTTCATTACCTTTCATGTATCTTCTTATCTTTTACCAGATACTTTTGCCAATGTCCTTCGTGAGCAAGTTGCAGCCCGAGCTGAAAGACAACAGCAACGCTTACGAATGATGAATGCTAGTCCTTTTGATACTGAGGCTCAAAGACTGATTGCCGAAGAGATTCGACAGAAAAACATAGAAGCTAATATGGAAGCAGCGATGGAATATAATCCAGAGACTTTCGGAACTGTTGTTATGCTGTGAGTAGAAATATAATAGAAATAAAATGTGGAATTAACTTGCTGTGTTTTTTATTAATATGCATTTGCTTTTTTTCTACAGGTATATTAATTGCCACGTAAATGGATTCCCAGTGAAAGCATTTATTGACTCAGGGGCTCAAACGACAATTATGTCTGCATCTTGTGCAGAAAGGTGTAATATAATGAGATTAGTTGATAACAGGTAATTTTAAGAGTTGAATATTTTTACAAATAATGCGCAAAAAATATAACTTAATTTTAGTTAAAATTTTCTTTTGCAATTTTGTTCTTTGTTAAATTTACCACTGAGTAGTAGAATATTGTTTTGTAGTTGCGGCTGTTTTATAGTTTAAAAGTAATTCTAGCAATAAGTTAGTACTTTTATTGTATCAAAATAAAAATGCAATTAAATACGAAAATTAGCAATATTTATAACACAATAGCAGAATTTTGATCATTATAATTTATAGTATTATATATATCTTCGTTTTTAACTTCTCATAGGACAAGTTATAGTAATCACAATAAAATTGCAAATGAAAATTTTTATATATGTTTACGTTTCAAAACCTTCTGAACATTTTGGCATACCTTAGAAAAAATGGATGTATGTGTGTGTGTGTGTGTGTGTGTGTGTGTGTGGATACAAATTTTCGTCGACGATTTCGGGAACACGGATGAAGCGATTTGAATAATTCAAAAAACATTCGATTCGTATTGATAAGGGGACGTGCTGATTAGTTTTTGGCGAAGGCAGGTCTAGCCGTTCCGAAGATACGGGGCAAAAAGTGCCGAAAACGGTAACTCAGTTTTTAAGAGAACGGAGCGTCCGATTCGAATAATTCAAAATACATTTTACTTGTATTGACAAGATGAAGAACTGATAAAATTTTCATGAAGGCAGGTCTAGCGGTTTCGGAGATCTAATGAAAAAAGTAAAAAAAAAATGCCTTTCGGCGGTTAAAAATGATCATTAGACATATGCACATCAAATTATTAGATATTTTATAGGGATTTTAACAATAAGTATAAATTTCGTTTACATTCCTATGGGTTCCGTACCAATGTTTATCCGTTAGACGGCGACGCGGCGCTTACGCGCTTCTATATTTTGTCTTTATGCAGCTAAAACAGTACGATTGCTTTGGAAAGAGTTCAGATTTTCCAAAATATTTCAAAATAAATTTTTCTTCAAAAAGTCTTTTTTTGTCAAAAAAAGTAAATTTTTGTCAAGAATTTATAGTTTTCAAAAATCTAATTTTTTCAGAGTAAATTCTTTTGAAAAATGTTAATCTTTCCAGCAATTTGTCTTAAGGCACAATGCCATGCGCCCCACTACTTCTATTATTCATTTACTCAATGTTATTCATTTCCATTAATTATTTATTATAGGTGGGCAGGTATAGCAAAAGGTGTAGGAATTCAGAAAATCATTGGACGCATACACATGGTGCAAATCCAAATCGAAAGTGATTTCTTAACGACATCATTTTCAGTTTTGGAAGAGCAGCCTATGGATATGTTGTTAGGACTTGACATGCTGAAAAGACATCAGGTGAGATAAAAAAAATATGACCAAAAAAACAGCATTTTAGCATTCTACTTGTATTTTAATATTAATTTATAAGTACATAACTTGCTTTTTACATTATGGCAGTCAATTATTAGATTTGATTTTTCAAACATCTTCATACCAAGTTCAATTTGTAATTGTTTTTTAGTTGTTCATTCATTAACATTTAAGATTAATAATTTTTTTGAATAACCCGTAATACGAGCGTTTCGAGATAAGAGCCGCCAAAAGAGCGATTCGTTGCTTCGACATACGAGCAAAATTCGAGTTTTAGGCTGAAAATGTTGATGGCAAAACGAAAATACGAAAAATTTTGTCAGTTGTGACAATGATTTTCATTTTATAGAAATATTTTGGCTATTTTATTATTGTAACTTATTTTATAGTTTAGTAATTTCGATTATATATAAATATTAATCGAAAATGAAAATTTTTATAAGTCTTTACGTTTCAAAGGTTTCTGAACATTTTGGCATACCTTAGAAAAAATGGCGTGTGAGTGCGGATACAAATTTTCATTGACGATTTCGGTAATAAGGGTCAATCGATTTGAATAATTTAAAAAACATTCGATTTGTATTGATAAGGAGACGTGCTGATTAGTTTTTTGGCGAAGGCAGGTCTTGCCGTTTCGGAGATACGGCAAAAGAATCATAAATGGTAATGGTCATTTTTTGAGAGAACGGAGCGTCCGATTTGAATAATTCAAAAAACATTTTACTTGTATCGATGAAATGAATAACTTATGAAATTTTTGGTAAGGCAGATCTATCTAGCGGTTTCAGAGATTCATTAAAAAAGTGTCAAAAAATGCCTCAAAAATGATCATTAGACATATGCACATCAAATTATCACATATTTCATAGATATTTTAATAGTAATAAATTTTGTTTACTTTTTTATGGGTTTCCTACCAATGCTTATTCGTTATACTGCTATGCGACGCCCACGCGCTTCGATATTTCGTTTCTATGCAGTTAACGTGTCGCGAATGCTTTGAAAATAAGTTCAAAATTTCCAAAATATTTCACAGAATAAAAAAAAAAATTTTTTTTAAAAAGGTCAATTTCAAAAATTTTAAAAATCTCAAGAATCGATTTTTTTACAGTTCTAAAAGAACACTGAATCTTTAAAAAAAAAAGAAAGAATTTTTTGGTACGAGAAGTTCCAGCAATTTGCCTTAAGGCACGATGCCATGCGCCACTAGTTATATATATGGATGATTCATGAAAAAATACTTGTATGTCAAGTTTAATTATTCAGTACAATTTAAATTGTTAAACAAATTTATTTTAATTTATATAAGTTGACCATACGTCCCGATTTGGCCGGGACAGTTCCGGATTTACACCTTTTTTCCCAGTTTTTTTAGAACCATTATTTGTCCCGGATTTAGATCTTTTGTCCCGAATTGTCCCGGGTTTTTAAAAAGTGTAGAGAAAGTCTAGACTGAATTTTCGCTCTTATAGAATATAATATAACTTGTAATCCAACGATAAGTTCTTACTAAAAGTCAGTACTTCTGTACAGTACTTCTGTTCAGTATTCATTTAAAACAAATTGATTTTTATTGCATTCTAAAATAGTGGTTGTTATTTTAAAAAAAATTAGTTTTGTTGCACTAACTCAAAATTACCGTCCCGGTTTTGATTTAAAAAATATGGTCACCCTAATTTATTTCCGATTCAACAGATTTAACGAATAAACTTATAGCATTATTTATTACATGTTTCTCTTGGTTATTAATTCATTATTCATTTTCTTATTTCAGTGTACAATCGATCTAAAAAGAAACGTTTTACAAATCGGAACGACTGGTACAGAAACTCCATTCTTAGCGGAGTCTGAATTACCAGACTGCGCAAGGTTGTCTGGAGGTGTCGACGACCAGGAAATGTTAGATAAGAGCGCTCGGGAGCACGAGCAAAAACAATTAGAGACTGCACTTGAACAAAGCCGACAAAGTAAGTAAATTATTAATAATTGATATAATAAATGGAAATTGGGATTTAAATAATTAGATACAATTTTTAACTGTTTATATTGAAGATACATTTTTGCTTTGACTTAAATTTAAACAATACAATTTGCAATTTATATCTTTTGAACACCTTTAAATTATCTGTAATTATATTAATTACAGTGCCCAGAAACGTTCTTGTATGTCCTAAAATTATAGCTTATTATTCCGAATTTTAATGAATTTAAATAATTCAACCAATTATTGTAGGATTATGCATAAACTTTTTTGCCATGTTAAATTTCATTAAAAACTTTCACGAAACATTTTACTGAACTGAATATCTTAAATATGATATAAAATCTTTTTTTTTGTTGACTATAATGTTTTATTTGAATCAGAATAAGTAATTTTTAGCAGGACTTCATTATTCTTGTATATGCTATATTATTAACTTCCCGTAGGGTAGTTATAGTAATGGGCCAAAAATCGAACAAGAAAATTTTTGCATTTCTCGACGTTTTGGCATACATCAGAAAAAATGGATGTGTTGTGTGTGTGTTTTGTGTGTCCGCATTTTTTCGTCCACGTTTTCGGGCGCGCCGATCAACCGATTTGAATGGTTCAAAAAACATTCGATTTCTATTGATAGGGAGATGTGCTGAGTAGTTTTTGAGAGAACTTAGTATCGGATTTGAATGATCTAAAAAACGTTCAATTTGTAATGATTGGGAGAAGGGGTGATTAGTTTTTGGCAAAGACAGGTCCCGCCATTTCGAAGATACAGAGCTAAAGGTGCAAAAAATTGCAGTTTTTGATTGACCTAAGCGTCCGATTTGAATGATCTAAAAAACTTTCTGTTCGTATTGACAAAACAATTGCTTTGGAGGATAAAAAATATTACATCTTTTTTTATTTTCCATAAAATATTTTGTAATTTTCGATTAAAAATTTTAATCAAAAAATCACCCAGGCTAAGCACAGTCTAAGCGCCACTCTGGTACAAATGATCACCCAAGTGCGTTTAGACTGTTTAGAGCACTTTTTTAATTTTGTGAAAACTATTGAAAAAATGTAAAAATGTCGCCAAGCTAAGCACAGTATAAGTGAAAATGTCGCATAGAATTATTTGCAAATGCAAGTTTGGACTGTGACTATGGGAGCACTTTTTCAATTTTGTGTAAATTAGCCCAACTATTTTTTTAAATTGAATTCGAAATGAAATGACGATTGTTAATGTTCTAGAGATAAATTGATTATTTATGATTTACATTTGATTTGCTCAGATATAACAAACAAGATAGCAAAAATAATGAAAGTTACAGTATTTGTAAAAATATATTTGAAAACGTTTAAAATTTCTCGAATATTTCATTACGGTACGGGAAGTTTCAGCAATTTGCCGTAAGGCACGATGCCATACACCACTAGTATTTTACCTGATAAATTTACCTGATGACTTTGAACAAAAATTTCAAATTTTAAAAATTCCATATGTTAAAGTTGTTTCTAGGTACTAAAAATACTCGTAATGTATCTTGGAGAAAGGGGTTAAATTTAAATATCACCAAGTATCATTAAGGGACCTGAAGGTATTCAAAAATCTTTAAAAATCGATCACGTGATCAATGGGACCCCTTGTTTCAAATTTAGTCTCACCCTGATTTTCTCATCCATTTTCCATTTCTCTTCATTAACTTAAAACCAGCATAACCTTTAGAATAGTTATTGATGATGGTTTTTTTCAGTTTTGTGGTGGTTGGCATAAAATATAAAACATAAACATCCTTTCCCCCCAGGTCACGTCAGGAGTTCCCCGACCAGACACTCAACCAGCCACAGCCGCAGCTCGCCCACCAGGGGCTCCCCCGGGGGCGGCAGTCACAGGAGCGCCCCCAGGAACCTCCAAACCCACGACGGATTCAGCGAAGCCGACGTTCGCGAATTGGTCAACTTGGGATTCACCCGAGAACAGGTATTACACGAACTGAGACGTTTCAACGGGGACAAAACGCAGGCGACGGCCGCCCTTTTCGCCAAAAGCCTCAAATTCTGACCGAGGAAACGGATGAAGACGGAGGACTGATGATGAAATGATAGTAATAAATTTTTTTATGAGAGGAATATGAGTTTGGTTAGTTGGTGGTTTAGTTTTCAGGTGGTAAAGGTAAGGGACTAGTGGCTAAGGAGAGGA